TGCTTAGCAGTCAAGTGCTTTAGCCATTATGCTACCAGAACTCCTTAACAGCAATATAATCATGAGAAAACATCAGACAAACCCAAGCTGAGGACCATTCTACTGAATAACTGACTGATCAGCACACTTCAAAAGTGTCAAGGTCATAAAAAAATAAGGGAAGACTGAGGAATTATTTTCACAGCCTAGAGGAGGCTGAGGCATGACAGCTAAATATGATGTTGGATCCTGAATAGGATCCTGGAATAAAAAAAGGACATTAGTGAAAAAACTAGTGAAATCCAAATAAGTTCTGCAGTTTAATTTAAAAAGCCTGTGGTTTCTTATGAGATGTCAGCAGGACCACATATATTAGTAATTAGGTTGTCAAGGACTTACCTTATGGTTCACAGCCAGGGAGAGAAGAATTGTAAGAACTCTACTTCACTGAAGAGCTTATAACTTAGCCCTCACTTAATGTTACATTGCTGAAATAAGTTCCTGCTCCTGAGCTGATTTTAGTTTCTGTTATTATTATATCTGTATCAGTAGCAAGTTCGTACATGTCGATGGCGAAAAGAATGTATTTCTGATTAACATATGGCTGTACCAATGTATATACTTCTGATCTATTTTCTCTGCTTTTCCAGGGTCGTTATGGTTGCTGTCGGTTTCTAAGGGATGGATATAAAACTCCTAAAGAGGTGGGTTTCTTTCCCAAAAAACAAGCCCAAGGCTTAATGGTCTTTTCTCTCTTCAGCCTCATTTAGAGAAAAAACTCGCTGATGGTTCTTATATAACCCACTACATAAGGTAACAGTAACTGATGCTTACTACTTTTATTGAGTTTAGTTGTTCCATTTGCCACTTTGTGGATCTTTCTGGATTAAATAATGGGTATAGAGGAAGTTACAGTTCCTCCTGACCCCCTCTTCCACCTCTTGCAGTTAGTTAGTCATTTGCAAGCAGTAGTTGATCTTGAAAACTTATGTTCCTTTTGCTCTATTTGTCAAATACGCTTTGGAAATATCAATGGGGAAAATAAAGTATTAAGAAAGAGAATCAGTGGTCTGTAAGAAGAAATACTTTCACTGGCAATGCAAACATCTTTTAAGGCTTTGGTTCCCTAGTCAAGATCCATCATACTTTTTTGTTTGTTTTAAATCATCAAGTTCAAACTCTTCTGGAACATGTGGTCTAACCTCACTGCCACTTTAGTCTTTGTCCCTGATTTTGAATTTTGCCCTTAACAGTCTACCATAATTATGGTCTGAAACATCATCGTCATCTCCTAAATGACCAATCCAAGAGCCTTTTTTCAAATCCTTTTTCCCCTGACTTCTCCATAGTGTTTTACTCTTTATTTTCCCATTTTAGTTCAATACTACACCATCCTGATTCTTCTTCATGCAACTCTGAGAGTTTACCAACATTCTATTTTTGGACTGTTTGTTCATTTTATATCAGCAGTCCTTCACAAAGCTTATCTCTGTTTGTCCTTCCTTTGTCACCTCTGTGAGGATAATTCCAAAATCCTCACTTTGAGACATTTCTATTTGTGTCCTGTCACTACCTCAAACTTTGCAAGTATAAAATCAAACTTAACTTTCTTTTAAGCCAAACTCACTTATTCATATATCCATCTCAGGTGCCATTATTATCCCTATTCTCCCTAGTTAGATGTCATACCATTGAGTCCTTGTTAAGGATAGGGAATATCCTACATGCTTTGCCTTCCCTGACCACTTTGTCTAGAACAAACTATCAGTAGTGAAAACCATACTATAATACCTCTTAACTAAAGATAAATAAAACAGACTTTGTTTATTGGCTTTTTCCTCTCCTCCCCAGGATCCCAATCGTCTGTACTATGAACCAGCTGAGCTGAAGTTATTTGAAAATATTGAGTGTGAATGGCCATTGTTCTGGACATATTTTATCCTTGATGGGGTCTTTGGTGGCAATGCAGAACAGGTAATCTGTTGCTGAAAAAGCTTTTCCTAATAGGGAGGCAACAAAGTTGTAAGGGCACTAGGTTAAGAGGAGACTTGGATTTTTTTCCCCCTTTTTCTTTCTTTTTCATTTTTTGGCTTTATTACTGACCATTGAATACCCCAAGCATTGTCATTGACTTCTTCCATTTATCTGTTTATAAGATGAGAATAGTTTTTTCTCTCCTCAGTGAACATGAAGATACCCCTAAAGTACTTTAAATTTCAGAGTCTTGTAAGTACAAGATATATTAGTTTCTGCTATAGTGTAGCATGGGAGCTCTGGTAGCATAGTGGCTAAGACACTTGCCTGCTCACCAGAAGGCTGGCGGTTCAAACCCACCAGCCACTTCTCGGAAGGAAGGTTGGGCAATCCTACTTCCGTAGTGATACTGCCCCGGAAACCCAAGGAGGTTCAACTATGAGTCGGGTTCAACTTGACAGCATATAACAACAACAACATGCATAATCAAGAAATAAAAGTACAGTGCTAATGGGAATATAGGATTAGGGGCACAACACTTAAAAAGTTTGTCAGTAATACACTAAAAAATGATAGAAACCTAATAAGAGCAGTTGTCATAGCTTTATACATGCTAAATGTTAAGAAATACATAAATACTGTGGTATATATCACACTTTTACCTTGAAAAAGGCCTGAATTTGATATGTAAATATGTGCCCATTATTTACCCCACCAGCGCACTTGCCTAATTCCCATATCTGCCACCCTGTGTGTGAAAGGACGAGAACAAAAGAGAGAGGAAAAAAAAAAAAACAGTGAGAGTAAAAGAACAGAGAATAGAGATGGAAAATTAAAAATAGGCTAAGAGGAATGGGGAAAATTAGAGAAAGGGGAGGGGATGTGGCTATGCAGCCAGGGTGGTCAACAGAAGGGTTGCAGCTTGTGAATTATTGAGAAGTAGTTGAAGGAGGGTTATCTGAAATAACATGGAAAGTTGTAACAGTAGATGTGGATGGGTGTAGCTCATTTGCCTCACGAGATATAAGCATATGTGTATTTTTTTTTTTTTT